TTAATATTACCAACCATACACAATTCTATAATTTCTACAATAAATATACAAAAAGTAACAAATAATTAAAATCTTATCATCAATTTAGATAACAAGTTGTAAGTTATCAATGTCAAGTTTATAAAAGTTAAATTTTAGTTATTTAAATAATCGAACTTAATTTCAAACTTAAGTTTATCCATTCAACCAAACAAACAAACTAATAAAAAAATGTATTAAACTCATTCGTAAATGTTGTGCTAATTACAACTTTTAGCATTCTAATTCTTAGAGTCATTATTTTGTGAAGACTTTTCTTAAGTACAATCTAACATGAGAAATTAGACTTTCTTGCCTAACTATTTATAACATTAAAAAAAAGAAATAATTCTTTGACTAGAGTTTTTAGTTGTGAAATTCCATTCGATTATTGATGTAGTTGATAGTGGATTAATGACTCAATGACAATAACTCCTTATTAAAAATAAATTTATAGTATAACTAATAATATGATAAATTTAATGGAAATTAAAATTTCAACTACAGTAAATATTAATACATGAAATAAAAATGAAATTTAAAATAAAAAAATTCATTATTTCAAATTTCGAAATACTATTATAATAAAGTAACCAAAATAAATTATTTAATAATAGGACAAGATCATAAAACAAAACTTGAATAAGCCAACTTTATATATATATATATATATTAATAATTATCATCTAATTTTTTAATTTTAGAAATAGTGCACGTCCGTTTTCTTTCGAATAAAATTTGGCACTCTATATCCACCTGCTACTTTTTCTTACAATGATTTTATTACTTCTTTTTACCATTTTCAATCGGACCAGTTTTTATTTTGCATTAGCTCAATCTCTAATATATTCTCTTAACATAATTAATCGAATAATCATGTCAATTTAAAAATATATAACACTTCACAAGTCTCAACTAATATTCTCTTCATTGATTCAACTTCCTATTATAATTCTTATTATTTTATATACACCAACAACTATGTTTCAAGTTTTTATTTTTTATAATTGTAAGAGTTGACGTAAATCTTAACAGCTTCACCACAGTAGTAAGTTGAAATCTTGCGATCTCAATTATTGAATTTGAGTAGTAGATTAGGGTATCTCGATTGGAAGAAAACGAGGCCAGAAATAGATTAAAATTTGTTTTCTGTGTAATATTATAAGAATTTGGTGAATTTTAATATTTGATGTTAGCAAACAGTAGTCTGCATTAGGAATCACAACGGATGACAACTTGGTTGAATGGGATGGATGTAGGTTGAAGTATTTCATTTCTAATTTTTAAATAAAATTTTTTGTTTATATTTATTTATATTTTATGAATATTAAACTTTTGTTCATTTTTAATTGAAGAATACATATATTTGCACATGTTTTTTTTACTATTACAAATGTTCACTAAATAACGTTCTTGAAATAAAATTAAAAGATCAAATCTGTATTTTAAATGTAAATTATGAAACTAAAGAATAAAAAAAATTATAGTAGAAATTTTAAATTACATTAAAGATATTTTAACAATTTAAAAGAAAGATATATATTAGGATAAACAAGAAAAATTAGATTTATTGACAAACATGGTAAGTGTAAAAATCTATTGATAAATTAAAATTATTGATAGTTTATTATAAAAAATTCATTAATATTCATTAATAAATTTTAATGATAGATTTAAAATTTTGTTGATAATAAAAAAGTTGTCAGTAAATATTGATAATCTAAATTCGACCATAGTAGTCCATTGATAAATAGTTGTCAATAATTATTAATAGAAAAATTTTATCAATAAATATTATAATTTGAGCTTCTTCATTTTCTCTTCATCTTATTTTTTTTATCCTTTCTTTCTCTTTTTCCATATGTCACTATTGGTGTTGTTTGTTGTCTTCACTATGTTCACTCTTGACTCGTTCTCTTCTCTTTCATCATTGCTATATATTGTTATAGTTATCATCACCATTATCGATACCGTTGTCTCCTTTTCCTCCTCTTTTGATTTGTTTTCTTACTCATTTTCATTTAATTTATAATAAATTCTATGGAAACTTTAATAATATTTTATTTATAAATTGACCAATAAAATTAATAATGAATTTATAAAAAACCGATAGATTTTCAAAAATTCAATTGAGAAATTTATCGATAAAATTTTTTAAAAAATCAACTACAAATTTATCTATATTCAATCAATGTTATACAAAAATTTTCCAAATCAATGCCCAATTGAAATGGTACTCATGCATATGGCCATTTGCGATTCCTAGTGCATTTCACATAGTCCGAAATAAACCGCCTTTAAATTTTGTGCTGCGTTTTTATTCTAAAATTTATTACCTGCACTGATTTAATCTATTTTCCACAGCTTTTTTTTTTTTTTTCATTTGCCACCTGGAATCTCTCACTCTATTGTAAATATGTGTTACACTCCTACATAAATTATTATACCAACATATGAATAATAATAAAAAAACCTAAAATGTTTTAACAGAGCGGTATTCTACCACAAAATATATTTAATAAAATGTTGTATAAATGAACCTCTGAAATTAATATAATTTTAAATATACAAAAATAAATACTTGTTATTATTAGTATGAGTATATTTTTATAGGTGGTGTTAGATAAAATCTTATATTTTAATTAACACTCATCCAATATCAATCATATCATTTTTTTTATTTTAAAATATAAAACTATTTAAAAAGAATCAACTATAAAAGTAAAAATATTATTTTTTATTAAGTGTTTTATTTATAGGTATAAAAAAACTTTATGATGGTCATTTAAAATTTTTCCATTTTTATATTTACGATGATCATTATGAGTGTTGTAATTACGTGAGAGTTACTATTAGAAATGAATCTGACCTACTCGAATGACTAACTCTATGGGTATCCTAATATTAAGATTGGATAAACTCTGATAGTATAATAGAAATAAACCACGCTTAAAAGCAAACTTAAAAAAGAATGATTGTCCTAGCCTTAGATAAGAATATTCTAAGCATCTTTCTTTCAAATGCTAAATACTGCAACGTTTAGTTAATGGGCTTCCAAAAGTGTGCTCTGAATGTTAGTTTGGACTTGGACTCAAATATGGGCCTAGACTAGCTTTAGTTTCCCACAATTAAGCAAACAAGAAAATGTTTCTTTCATTAATCTTGTAATGATAAATACGTGAACTAGAGTGTGTGCAATTCATTCAATGATTATCCATAAAAATTATCTGCACTGAGTATAGTTTTTATCAATCAATTAGGTTATGGTTTGGGAATTTTCCTTACAAAACTTTTGCTGATATAGATTTTATATTACCCAACTAATATATTTATATTCTATTTCATGACTGAAATTTGAAAGTTTTTCAAACATTTGAATATTAAGTCAGGAAACGTATTTATAATGGAGTACTTTGTATATTTATAAAATTGTATTTTATCGATTATGAAATAAATTCACATAAGGAATGATAATGAAAGTGTTAATTATTAATATAAGTTAAGGTAGAGTTGAATGTTTTGTTTGAAATATGATATGAAAAGAGACATCATAAGATGGTGGAAGAGAACAGAACCAATCCATGAAGAGGTAGGTGGAGGTGAGAGAAATAATTGGTTTTTTTTTTTGGTGGTTGAAATTTTGAGGTTGTAGGGATGAATCAGAAAACATTGGCACTTGGCATGTAAAAAGGCACGTCATCAAAAGATACCTGTGACTGTCTCAGTGAAAGAAAGTGTGAAGCTTTTATAAAGCAAGATTTCAAGGCAGAGACGTAACTGTTATGGAAAACCATCTCTTTCATATAATACAACATCACTTTCTCAACTCAGAAAGCCTCCAAAAGCTAGAAGTGAGATGAAAACTTAATAATAGAACGAAAATAGACTAAAATAAATAAAATATAAGTTAAACTACACATTAAAGACAATATGCTGAAAAGGGATATAAAGTGATAATAAAATATAAATCAGAAATAATCAAGGGAATTCTATTACTTAAAAATGAGATTTTTTACTTTACTTTTTTTTTTCTCTTCTGAATATTTAATTTATTTACATCCATTTTTTCTATTTTTCGTTTACCGAACACACAGGGGGAAAATTAAATATATTCTCACTTTCTATAAATACTGTTAATTATAACATTTTAAAGTATAATTGTTTAACAACATCACTCATACCAAATTAATAGATAATAGCTAATTTGAAATAATAAAGTTAAATATACATCACATCAGTAATAAATGGTAATAAAAGTCAATCTAAAAATTAAATTATATGAAAATTAATAATAGTAATAATCCGAGTTGATTTGTTAATAAGTGGAGTAGTGTTTAAGTTATCTTAAATGAAATTATCTATATCATTAACAACAATTTTGAAAAATGTAATGATTTAAAAGTCTTTTGGCATTTAATTTTTTATTTTAAGAAAGGTGAACTGAATACAAGGATTTACATTGTAGAGGATCAAATGAGAGGATAGAAATAGAAGGAAAAATGAATTTATTGTTTGATTTAATATAAAATATGAAAACTGCATAACGGTACAGATCATATTCATATCTGGTATATTACAAAACATTCAAACAGTACACTAGCATTTTGATCTGCTATTATTAATCCAACAGTAGCCTCAGCCAAAATTATTAATAGTTAAAAAAAGTTGTGGTGAAGTAGCTGGCTTGGCGTGGGAGTGGGAAACATGCTTTCGAATATGCTAAACTTGCAAAATTTGTCCCATTGCAGATAAAAAAAAAAGTGATTTTGAATATACAATGATGATGATAGAAGGGTGGTGATTAAATAAAATGGAGGGTTTAGAGAGAAAAGATAAAATAAGAGCAATAAAGTGAAGAGTGATTAGAGGGTAGGATCACATGAAATGAGATGAAATGAAAGGAGAGACAGTTACACATATTAATGGATGCCATACAAGTGTACAAGGTTACAATAGTTGGAGTGTGTTCCATTTCATTCACACTTCAATAACAACCGCTTGGTTCCTGCTGTGTCTGCTTGCCACATGTTCTTTGTTTCCTTCAACTTTTACACTGACCCCACTTTCTCTTCTCTACTCTACTCTCTCAATTAATAACACTCCCACTCCTTCTCCTTCCTCCATTTCCTATCTTCCTTCTTTCCTTCCAATGACTGACATCACTGATGATGTGGCTGAGGAAATCTCCTTCCAGAGCTTCGACGATGACTGCAGGTTGCTCGGGAATCTCCTCAACGACATTCTCCAGCGCGAGGTTGGCACCAACTTAGTTGACAAGATCGAAAGGATTCGAGTCCTTGCTCAGGTCAAGCCAACCTTTCACCCTTTTTCCTTTTCCTTCACTCACGGGGCTCTCCTTCTTTTGCTTCCTCAGGGGGTGTTGTTGTTACCTGTTTATATTTTTGTGTTTAATTGTTATGTTCTGTCACTTTGGCAGTCTCTGGCTGACAGAAATTAAAATTGAAGTTCCTATCTTTCTTAAAAATTAATAAATTTAACATGCATGGTGGTTTGTGATAGAATAAGATTTATACTCTTTTACCTTTTTTACTGTTTCTGGGATATTCTTGTATATGCATTGGTGTTTCATGAACCATGATGCATGGGGGTTCATGATTTGCTAGCTTTTGTTTGTTATGGATTGTGATGGTGCATGTGGTGAGTTCGTGTGATGAGAATCTTGGACGTGGAAATTGGTTGGCACTGAGTTCAATTTCTCTTTTTGGCAGAGTGGTTGTAATATGAGGCAGGCGGGTATTTTGAACATGGCAGAGCTGCTTGAGAAGCAGTTGGCTTCGGAGTTGTCGAAGATGACACTGGAAGAAGCTTTCACCCTTGCTCGTGCCTTCAGCCATTATCTTACTTTGATGGGCATAGCTGAGACCCATCACAGGTACTTCGGTCATAGCTTATTGGTTTGTATACTCTCATTACTTGATGATTAGTCTGTTCTTGCTTTTATAGGTAATACCATATCATTTTAAAATCTGAACAATTATGTTTTATTTCAATACTTAGAGAGTACTGCTGGACAGGGTAGTCCTTTACAGAATTTGTGCTTTTGTAGGGTTCGTAAAGGAGGGAATGTGGCACAAATTGCAAAATCTTGCGATGATATATTTAACCAGCTGGTGCAGGGTGGAGTTTCCCCAGAAGAACTTTATGACACAGTCTGCAAGCAGGTTATTGTTTTGTTCTTTACATGTCATGTGCATAGATTGATAAGCAAAGATGAAACTGAAATTGAGCGGCCTTCCGTGAGAAGTATAAAACTTTTAGCCTAACTTCTCTGAGACTTTTTCATCCAAATTTCTGCTATGCTTCCTTGAATTTTTCTGGAAATTATTGAATGCACCATGCAGACCAAGATTAGTAATTTTGAATCTTTGTTTATTTTCTTTCAATTTGGAATGCAATCTTTACGTTGATGGTCTTTAAATCAGTAAACTAGTTCCAGCTTCTCTTCCTTCTAAAAATTCAATTTGATTTCTGTTGCTACAGGAAGTGGAAATTGTTCTCACGGCTCATCCCACACAGATTAACCGTCGGACCTTACAATTCAAGCACGTTAGAATTGCTGTGAGTTTCTTTGGCCTTGTTGGGCCATAGAAAATATTTCCACAAGCTTGAAAATTTCAATCTATATTGTCACATAAGCATCAGTCTTTAACTACTTTCCCCTCTTCCATGTAGCATCTTTTGGATTATAATGATCGACCCGATCTTAGCACTGAAGATCGAGAAATGGTGATTGAAGATCTGGTAATTATTCTGAACTATATTTTCACTCTAGAAAGCTGTTTGACTGTGTTTAAATGGAAGTTAGTCTCCTTTACTTATGAAATGGGTGAGAACTTTTTGTTTCTGGAAATACTTTTACTATTCTCATAGATCACAAATGGTTTGGTAGGTGAGAGAGATAACTTCAATATGGCAGACAGATGAACTGAGGCGCCAAAAGCCCACACCAGTAGACGAAGCTAGAGCTGGTAAGCTGCTTCATTATTTTATATGTCAGCACTTGCATGATTTGGTTCACATAAGCACTGTTTGTTGTTCAATAAATTCCTCCAGGTTTCAACATTGTGGACCAGTCACTATGGAAAGCTGTCCCTCATTACTTACGACGTGTTAGCAATGCTCTAAAGAAGGTTTATCATCTTTACTTCATGGTCTTGGCTTTAAATTCTCTTCAAGATTTTCAATACAATCTATTCTCCCTCGCAGCATACAGGAAAGCCACTTCCCTTGACCTGCACTCCCATAAAGTTTGGATCTTGGATGGGAGGTGATAGAGATGGGAACCCAAATGTGACAGCAAAGGTGAACATTTTTAACATCCATTAAAGTTCATGCTGCCTATACTTTACAAAGTGATTTCACTTTTTTGAACAAGTGGAAGAGTCTTTTCAACGAGTGTGAACTTTTCCAGTAATGCAATAATCATATTTTTGTGATAAATTTCATTAATTTAGAATTTAAACATTTCTTGTGTGGTTTTGTAAAGGAAAATTTGAATGCTTTCTGAACATTTGTGACAAAATTTTATTATTTTAAAGTTTAAAGATGTCATTGTACTTTTGTTGGGGAAAATTTTAATGCTTGTTGAACGTGGAGATCTGTCGAGGGTAAGAAAAGTTAGCTACCTATTATTATGTTAAATACTTCCTGAAGTATTTCTTTTTATAATTTTCCTGGAGTGGTGGCTGGATGTTCTTTACTGGTTCAATGATAGACATCTTCTGTGTGTAATATACACAATATCATCAACTCACCAGAATGTATTGTTCAATCTTGGGTTGGATTTTCAGTGCAGAGAACATTTGTCTTACCAATTTTGCTTGAACCCTGTAAATCTTGACAGATTTAATAGCTTCTCTCTAAGTGTTTTTCTTTTTGTTACTCAGGTCACAAAAGATGTTTCACTTCTATCTAGATGGATGGCAATTGATCTCTATATAAGGGAAGTGGACAGCCTCAGATTTGAGCTATCCATGAACCAGTGCAGTGATAGGCTGTCAAGACTGGCACACGACATTCTAGGTGATTTGCCTGTTGAGTTTTGTGTTTGGGCGACATCCTCAAAATGCCAATGGAATATAAGACCACTAAGCACTGATTGTCGAAAGTAACATAAATAACTTGTGCACATCAGATTTGAGTGCTTTAAAATCATTCCAATTCAATTTTTTCCCTCTTTTTATTAAGCCTAACTTTTTAACTCATGTCTTCTAATATATTAACACAACTTTGGACTTAATAATATAATAAGATTAGCATTGAATCAACTGCTAGTTTGATACTATTGTAATCTGTATCCAAGAGTTGATGGTCACCTCTTCCTCTGCAGAAGCTAAACGTGATAATCCCCGTGAGAATTGGAACCAATCCGTGAATAGAAGTCCCGCACTCCCAACACAACTTCCAGCTAGAGCTCATTTACCTTCCATTGCTGGTACACATAATGGAATTAATATTTTCTAGCTGTATCATATGTTATATATCATTGATGTCCACATTTTTGTTTCCTTTGACTCCAATTCTGTCATACATGAGAAATGGGGCATATTTGACATTCTAATTCATATCCTGTTTGAACATATTCTTTTGTGTAGAAAATGGTGAATCTCGGCATCCTAGACTAGACATTCCAGGACCTGATCACATGCAATCTAATCACAAGGTAATTCAATTTTGTGTTTCTGATATTTTTGATGCTGCCATAGCATATTAGATAATATATATTTTCTAATCGGTAGGATGGTGGGGCTGCCTTAAGTTCGACTACATCGAAAAATGCCAATCCCAATATTCAATCTCAAGGAACAAGTTCAGCAAATTCCAATGCTTCTTCAGCTACAACTTCATCTTCCTTTGGTCAAAAGAAATTGTATGCAGAACCCCAGACAGGAAAGTCCACTTTTCAGAAGCTTTTAGAGCCAATGCTGCCTCAACTTCCTGGACTTGCTCCGTATAGAATTGTCCTGGGGAATGTTAAGGATAAGGTATGACTTCAATTCTATTCCAGTATTGGTACTTGAAAGATGACTTTATCAATGCTAGAACTTGGAATTCCAGTGATTTTCTAAGTAATTTTAAGTTGTCATTTAATGAACGCAAACATCTTTGCAATTTCTTGTTCAGCTTGAGAGAAGTCGTAGACGATTAGAACTACTTCTTGAGGATGTTGCTTGTGACTATGAACCTTCGGAGTACTATGAAACATCTGATCAGCTTTTGGAACCTCTGCTTCTCTGTTACTAGTCTCTGGTACTCTTTCTCTTTCTTTCTTTTTCCTGAAGGGTTGTCCACAATTAGTATGTAACTCTCCATTTCTTCAGCAATCATGTGGATCTGGGGTGCTAGCTGATGGTCGACTTGCTGATTTGATTCGCAGAGTTGCTACCTTTGGAATGGTGTTGATGAAGCTTGACTTGCGTCAGGTCTGACTTAAATTGTAATTTTAATATTGCTTAGATAGTCAGTTATGACTCGAGAATTTAATTATGACAGGAATCTGGGAGGCACGCAGAAGCACTTGATGCAATAACAGAGTATTTAGATATGGGTACTTACAGTGAATGGGATGAAGAAAAGAAGTTGGACTTTTTAACAAAAGAACTGAAAGGGAAGAGGCCTCTAGTTCCTCTTAGTATTGAGGTAAGTGAGATGGTTAGAGTTTTCAGTATACTAAGCACCTATTTGGCAAGCTCTCTTGTGGGACAGGAAAGCTTCGTTTTGTACTTTAGAAAAGAAAAGAAAGTTAATTTCATTGTTGAAGGGTGAAAAAATTGAAGCTATTCTCTCCTCACTTTTCTTTATGATTACCTGAATGTCGATTAGTTCCAAAACCCTCTTTGTGATCTTTCGTAGCTGAAAATTGGAATAATAGCCTTAGTTTCTTGAACCAACTATAGTTACTGACACACAGAGAAGTTCATTATTGAATTTCTTATGACAGTTGAAAAAAAAAAGTGAAATATAAGTGTCTTCAATAAACACATAAAAATAGTTCACCAATGTCGAATTTTGACACCAAACCTATTGGATGGGATATTGGAAGGCCGTTTTAATGTTTACTATCGGAGAACCAAACTGATGATACTGTATCTTTGGAGGACTAAAATGTTCACTCAGAATAGAAAATAAAATACCTTGATCTGCTACATGCTAATCCCCTCCCGCC